ACGGAGCATGACCACGCGAGAGCAAACAGCGGACAAGCATGGTTGCTGCCGTTTTGAAATCACGCCAATTGTCACAGATCTGCTCAAACCGCGTAAGCTGGCCAGTGAACACACCTGCAGGCTGATGAGATGGAATGTTCGACGTTGCACTAGGATATCGTATAACAGGAAAATCCCATGCAACGGTCTTATCAAACACACTCAATCTGAGAGATCCGTCTGCTCGTGTCTGCAGTTTCGCACCTAAGAAGGTGCACGAGCCATCTGCCGCAGTGGTCTCCTTCCATTCAAGACCATAATGGGCTGATGATGGTGGCAGACAATCAAAGGTAAGAACATCATCAATGAACCGATATGTAAAAGCATATCGGCGAGCAGCAGAGGGATCCACACGCTGCAGGTTGTCCACGTACTGCGCCTCATCCCAATAGAGTGTAAGATTGGCAATCTCAGGACCAGCGTTTGTACCCATAGGGATACCGACATATTGATGACGAACAAGGCCATCCGCTGTATACAAATATGTATTTGTAACAATAAACCGAAGATGTTGAAGAATGTCAGAAACAGAAAGAGTGTCAGGTCCCGTATCCGTAGTCCATTCCCCTGCACGGGGTCCACGGACCAGCATACGAAGAGCAACACCCGATGAGCGTGTCTGTGTATGCTGCCGTACCTGTGCAAGAGCGTAGGCATGCGCCTCATCAACGGCATTAGCAACATTGTCAAGAATTCGTTGATGAGAAAGATTAGTATACATAGTAGTGAAATCAACTGTATGCGAGGCCAGACCTCTAAGAGAAGCTTTATTCTTTTTGAGGTCAAGCATGACCTCGTCACTGCTCTGAACAATGTGTTTTTTTAGTGTTTGTTTACTAGGGTTTTTTTTTATCCTCCCCCCATCATCATAGGGTACTTGGTCATAAATGACACAGGGCAGAGGAACTTCATGTGAGGAGAGGTCCCACTACCGGTAGCACAGAGGATTGGACTTAACGCCCGTATCTGGACGAGTTTGTGGAGAAGTGCATAAGATCGCGATTGATCCGCTTTCCTGCATCTCTGCACAAAACACATCCAGATTCAGGCGCTTCATGCAATCCTCTTGGCTAGTTCGGATCAGGCACAATGATCTGCTTCCCTGCACCTCTGCATAAAACACATCCAGATTCAGGCGCTTCACGCAATCCTCTTGGCTAGTTGGGATCAGGCCCTAGGGCCCAAATAGCGAACACGGGAAAGTGAAGGACTACCGTAGCGAGCAGAAGGGTTCGGAACTCCAACGAAAAAAAAAAAAAAAAAAAAAGCCGGACGCATCTTCCCTCAGAAGCTGGAAAGATTCATACTCACTACGAAAGTAACATAACTACGAATAGCGACAAAACCCGAAGTCCAAACAGATGGACGTTCTTAGTTGGTGAAGTGATTTACAAAAAAAATAAAATTTTCAATATAAAAATTAAAAATTAAAAAAAAAACGGATGGAGCTTGGGGGGAAATCGAACAGGAAAGAGAGTTGAAAAGTGGACAGGGACGGAACGAGAGAAGAGGGAGGGAGGGATTCGATGACGAGGTTCAGGGCAACAACGCAAAAAGCAAGATGATGAAGGAAGGAGGTCCTTAAGAGAACGGTAATTACTCAAGAAAACCGCAGAGGTTATTCGCTAATTACCCTTCTCTTCTCTGAACCCCTTTCAATCCGTTTTAAGATTGAAAGGGGTCCAGAGAAGGGTAATTATCAAATAACTTCTGCGGTTTCAGGATGACAAGCATAATCGAAAAGAAAACCAAAACAAAAAATCGAGAAAAAAAAAGATGCAGCGAGGAGAGGCCATGATGAGGATCGGAAGAGACAGACGGCCGCCCATGTCCCGCCCATGTCGGGACACAAAGCACGCACGGACAGAGACGTGTGCAACAAACTCTTTTTTTTTCTCTTTGAACCCCCGATAATACTTACCTAGGTGAAAAAACAAAACAAAAAAAAAGGGTCTGGAGCAGTGTGCGGATCGCGGTGATCTCGGCGGTTTGCCGCTGGGAGTGGTGTGAGCAGTTCATTGAACCTGACTGACCCTTATCATTTCGAGGAAGGAGAAGTCGTAACAGGG